GCTACGCGCCATCTACATTTTAGACGCTTCTTTCGGTCGGGCCTGGTGTGGTTATCTAATTGCATTGGAAGCCACAACAAGATTATAAACCTCCTGAGAATGACCTATTACCCACTTCTTTGTGCACACTCTTACTTAGTTGTCTCGTACCCTCCGTGTAATCAGGCAGAGTCAGGACCTTGAACCGTTTTCCTCCCACACAACGCTGCTTTAGTCGTTCTGTGCTAATCCTTGGCACAGACTCACAATTCAGAAGCCACCTTTGCTCATACGAAGTTTTCGTAGCTCAGCCACCATGGCGATTTGCCAATCCATGTCACACCTCATCATACCTACATTCAGTCCTATCCATGATTTTGATTCCTGAGGGGATTACTCCAGAAGCTTGTTGAAGCCTAAAGAAACATGTCAGTACACTTTCATCAAACCTCTCAAAATTGACAAAAATCCGCCTATCGTATAAAACTTATAAGCCACCAGAGCGATTCATTAGGTGGGAAATTGGAGAAAGCAAATGTATTTAGTTTGGGGCAAATTTACAGCACACACAAACACCATGCCCTACTGGACTAACAGACTCTAGTTTTGATTTGTTTGCTTACTTTCGAATGAGGACGCCATTAGCAATAAAATACGTCCCTCGGAAACGCATCCCACGAGGCTGTCACCCATATTATGTTTTATTTTAACTGCGAACACTGCATAAATATTATCATTACGGCTGTGCTTTCCTAACTAGTTTTAGTAAAACCCTTTACTGGACTACTTATCGACGATTTACTTCAGAATTATCGCGTCCAGGGACATCCTTCTTTTGACTAAGAGCGACCATATCTACAGGAAATCGAGTCACAGTTGTAATACTTAATTTCACCTAAGTAAGCTCTACTAATTTGGCTCAGTTTCTGAACAAAGTCGAGCACATTTCCAAAAAAATGGAGTTCTTAACCTCGAACCACAAATGTAAAGGTCTCACTGGGCACGGTTGTTAATTACAGGCTATTGAAGCAGAATAAAATTATGGTTTCATAAAACTACATTGTGAACTTCGAGTATACAAGATTTATACTCCTTTTATGAAGTGTTATTAGGCAAAAACGGCTTTACTGTGAAAGTTAAAAGCACTTAAGTGGTGGTGAAACCGACCATTAGAAATAGTGAATGCTGATTTGTTTGGGCAATGCGTATTTTTTAAAGTTTAAGCTTAATATCTACTCAATTGCATTAAAGTAACACGCTATTTTCACTTAGTTCCGATTTCCGATTTAATGCGGAGCTGTTCTTTTACAAGATGACCAATTGTTTAAAATACTGTCGGAGGGCTTTTGCTTTTTGAATTATGTTTGAAATAACATGTCCATAGTCCTGCCACTTAGCACTGAGAAATATCATCCACAAAAATTGATTTCTCTAATGCCGGACTTTCAACAGAACCCAAAAAAAGGAAAATGCGACGTGAAAAAACTCATATCGTGCATGGTCACTGTAAATTCCCCATGTTGAACCAAATTTTTAAAAATCATAGCATTTCACAATATGATTTTGGTCAACGTCAGAGTTCTGGCATGTCTGAAGCACGTGTGAACAATACTTGTTTACTGATCATTTGTTTCTCTGAATAGATTATACACCAAGGCAACTTGAAACATTGTTAAACGCACACGCGCCATCCAAAGACAGGAGGGTTGTGGTGTTTTCGGCATTGTTAACAGCTTATGCGAATTTTAAATATGCTACAGCAAGGACCAAAACAGTAAAATAAAGTGGTAGGCAGGAATAACATGGTAAATCTTACATCAGACGTATTTGCGTGAAAAACCAATGAGCATTTAAAAAAATATCTGACCATAGCAAGTTATCAGCTGGAAATACAACATTACAATCATGCACCGATGTGTGAAATTGTAGCGGCTTGCTACAGAAATTTAACTCATAAATTCACTTCATGTTATTCAGAATTTATCATTTTGTAGTATCCTTATAAGGCGGCAGTTCATAACCATAGCACACATCTGAGTCATCACATTGCGTGATAGGGAGTGTATAACGTCGAAAAAGGCCCTGTGGAGCATTAGCCACATCAATTTCGTGTCCAATAAAGTGATCATGGCGCACTTTCCTATTCATATAAATCGCTTGTAGCATAAAATATTACAGAATCTATTGGCCAGTTAATTTGCCCAGATCACTGGTTACTCCTGTACTGTTGTAATCTGTTTTAGTTACTTTCTCCGTTGTTACTAACCGTCTAGGGCGTTAAACTCGATCAATCATTCATAGCTGACGACACAGCCAAACGCCTAACCGGCAAAGCTATAAACGGCTATTTTAAGCGAATGTGGATTGGTATTACCTCACATAATAGTCTTTCTGATGCGGCAGACGAGGGCCTCAGTTTTCTAGTTTTCAGCTATTTCTAATTAACGAAAATAGGCTTTTGCGCACTCGTTTTCGCGAGGAATCCATGCCAAATACCGTTAAGATGTACTGCCACTTCGAGCAGGATTGGGTCTTGCTCGATATAAAACAAATTTCAGAGATGACTCTAAATCAAAACGCAAGAAGCAGTGTCACACCAAATAATCATAGGAAAAAAATACGCCGTAAAATTTCAACTGGTTGTTTTATTTCCTAGTTTATCAGTGCGGGTCCTACAAACTATGTGGTGCTTCTTCCCTGGATCTTAAGTTTCCCATTTTTAATCTTTTTTTCAAAATTCCCATTAGTTTTTGGCAGAAATTCGTAGAAGCAGAAACAGCCATCAGGGATTAGATGACGTGCACAATGTGAGTCACTCACTGGGGAGTGGAGGGTGACGCAGAGGGCATTGCACTAGTCACCACACGGGCACTGGCCACTGTTCACCGACTATGTGCTCGAGTAAAGTATGCAGTAATTGCACGGGGCTGCGCGTTTCCCAAAGAACCCAGTTAAATAACAGCGGCCTCAACTACAGCAGACAAACTCGTCGGAATGGAATACCAACAAAGGCAACCCCGAACGTTAAACGTCGGATACGAATAATCCCAAGCAATAAATATCGCGACAGTAGGTAGAACAAACAACAAATGTTTACGAGTAAATGGATACAGCAAATAGCGAGCCCCGCTCGCCCTGTGGTCAAATTAAAGGCAGCGCGCAGTAAAAATCAGAATTTAAAACAAACGACAAATCAAGACTAACATGTAAACATTAAAATCCAGTCTACATAAATCGTTACATTTTCATAAATTGGTTTGTGCTTATAAAGTTGAATTTTCGGGATATTCCATGCGAAGAGAGTAGGTCTTCATTTTAATAGTGCTTGACGAATTTGTTTAAGTAAATCCTTACCGATGTTTCATACACACGGCAAATTAGCACAGTACCTCGAGAAAATTTGTCGCGAAGCCCAAAACTCTCCCTCACACAGACACACTAGTGTCCTTAATTGAGGCCAAATGGGCAGATTTTCTCCACAATAATATTTCGTTTAAATCCGTTATCTCTATTTGACCCGTGTTTGATTCTCCCTTGCTTTGGCACCTGATTTAGCACCACAATTACCTCCAAAACTTGTAGATTTTAGTCACAGATTTTCCTCGGCAAAAATTTTTCTTTAGACATTTAAACACAAGCCTGACCGTATCTTCAAAGGCACAATTGTCTTCAAACTGAGTGTTGTAAATTAAATGGGCTTATTAAGTACTGGCCTATTGTTAAATTCCACAAGTTAAAGAACTTTTGTGGCATCACCAATGGTATTGCAGAGGCAGGCTGTGCAGTTGAAAGGTTCTCGCAAGAAAGGCATGCATTATGGGAGAGTAGAATAGATTTTAGACGGCATAGAGCCATGCTTAGCTTGAGGTACAACAGTAGTGGCCGTCACCACTACCACGATCATCGTTGAGGCCAAGCGAATCCGATGTAGGTGGCCAAATAATACGTGATGTGAAGCCTAGTTTAGCCGATTATGACCTTCATGCACACGTGACATTTTACGCATTAGTGAGATATTTTTAAATAGAGCATTTGGATTATAAAGAAACATGAAATTCGAACTATTTTGCGTGCAAAAGGACACGGTGGTTTAGATAAATCGATGTCCTCTTATCTCCAACCTTAGCACGGTTTAAAAAAAGATAAACGAGCTCAAAGGTTTTAAGTAACTATTTACCATCCTGTACCCATCTTCTAGATGAAGGATTTTCCAGCAGGACCCTCTCCTCCACAGCCTAAGATATAACTGTCACCTTGAACGAAGCTACGAAATGATTGGAAGTGACTGAAACTGTAGCTATTTTAGTGGGGACATTCTGGAAGTGCTTCAAGACAAACGCCAAGGGACCTAGAGAATTGTCAAACAATGAAACAGTTTTGGCCTATTTTACATCAGTATCTGTTGGAGGAGTAACGATATCGGTAGTTGGTATTACGAAGCACCAAAGCGCTGTTTCCTAGGACTGGCATGTAACGTTTTTAGACGTCTAGCAAGATAGTTACGTGACAGTTCACGTGTAAAAATATCAACGGATTAACCATATTAACAGCAGGTGCTGTAACATGGATGGCCCCGAATAAATGGCAGTTTGTGCTTTTCTGAACAAACAGATTTGGTGACCGAATTTAGTAGACAAGAATGACCGCCTAAACTGACACAGTCATACTGTTTGATATGACCCCGAGTAGCATTCAATAGATAAAATGCGCTCCGTTTGGTTTAGCTTGGGTTGGAAATAGCACCATGGAGACTGCAATCATTTCACAAAATGGCGGCAGCAAACAAACATTTTAGCCATTTAAGGCCGTTACTGCTGCCTTGTAGCAGTTAATCGCAGCTCGGGTCCCTACCTAGTCCCAATCACTTATCTAGTCATTCAATAAGGGAAAAATGTGCACATAAGAGTAAACCATTTGAACAGGACCTCAATAATCAATATCTCCATTACAAATACACAGAAATGTTAAAGTTATAAATTGTTGCAGACCGTGTTGATTCACTCTTGCTACCTCCTCCTCTTATGCAGGTCCGATTCGTCGAGCACCCCATGCACTCAAACGCCCACACACGTCTGAAAGACACTGACTCATCCCACGAACTGTCCGTTAACCAGTCTGTCCGTACTCTAGAGGTTAGAAACTACGACCAGCCGTGCCCCCAATTGCGCACGCTCACTCACCCGGCTAACAGGGAGCTGGCACTTCGTTGTCTGCGCTCCGGTCGCTCCGGAGGCCGCTTAATGCGATCCAGCATCGACAAAGCCAGTCTCACTTGTTTACACACTTTGATGTATGAAAGTCCTGTTTGGCAACTTAGCCTTTGATCCGCCTCAATAAGTGGTCATTCAACTAAAAAAACGATCAAGAAGAGTAGTGCATTTCGGGTTTTAGGACTGCCTGTAAGTAGTTAAAAAAGGGTTTCTAAAATCAACCACCCGGTCTAGCCTCTGTGGTTTTGTCAAATCATGCGGCTGAATTATTTACCGAATTTCGCACCATTAGAATTGCAAGCTAGGTTAGGCGCAGGCATGTGTGTTCTTCGTTTTGCTCACCGAATTAATCCAGATTCTTTTATATCGTGTTGAAGAAAGGATAATTTGTGAAATAAAAAAACCGTATTTTAATTTAAGCGTGAATCTTGTAATGGATAATTATAGCGGCAACTCACACACAAAAGGAGCATACTTTCTTATCGTAAATATTATGTAGGGCTGTTTTGGGTTGTAATGTCGAAAACCTTTTACAATAAACCAAATGTTCTGGTTCATTTGTCGCCATGTTATTAAAAAATTTAAGATTTTATATGTTTTTTAAATACTGTGTTTAACTTCACTTTGGTAAGCGATCTCAAAGTTCTCTGCAACTAATTAGTCCAAATCCAAGTAATAAAATGATGGTTTTTAAGTCCATGACGCCACATCAATCAGTAGGTTGAAACGATTAAAAACGATGCAGGAGACAGAACGTGTGATAGCAAAATATTTTGCGTCAGAGTAGACTAGGGCATCTCCTGGTCCATAGGGGTTCACACGAGTACAACAAAATTGTCGATAAATAGAGGCTTTTGACAATACTCGTTAGGGCAACGGAGTCGAAATTCTAGGCATTTTAGGCTGCAGTGGCAGTGTCGTGCCACAAACGACGCTGCCGACTAAATAGGTATTTCCAATGGGAGGTAAAGATTTGGAACTAGGTACCACGGTGAGTCTGACGCTGTGGGAATATCCACCCACCTTGCTATGAGAGGGTAAAACAGGCTAATTAGCAAAGTGTTTAATTGAAACTCAGAAAGATTTTGCGTAAAACACACTTACATTTTAGATTAATTCCATACAAGTTGCCACTGTGTATGATAGCGTTTTATCCTTTGCATAAACGATTTCTGAACCCCGTGAGGAGGCAAAACAGATGTGATGTAAGTACCACAAGTTAAAATTTAAAAATTGCGCCAAAAAGCTTAACGCCCAGATGCTAAAATTGCCTTCACTTTCACAAAAATAAACGTGACAAGCCTTTGCTAGGTTGCAATTTATATGTAACCCTAACCTTGTGTTAGATATAGTAAATGTGGAGCTATCGTCTTTAGAATCCACAGTCCTATTTAGTCCATGATTTTTATTTATAGCTGACACTAAAGATTCCAATTTCATATTTTTGAATGGACAATTCCTTAAAGCCAACGCGTTGACATCATAAAATGGACACTTTAAGAGAACAGTGTGCGAACTCCAATCCACGGAAAATATAAAAAAAACACAGTCAGGTAGTCTTTTTCACGGCCATTTGCACAGCGCCACCAAGAAGGGAAGATCGGTTACACATGCGCAATTTTGAAGCAGGTATGCTAAGTCTTGCTTACAGATCATACCTTGGATGCGCAATACCGACGAAATACAGCCAGTGAAGCATATAATTTTATAGCTCAAATCCACTTACAACGAGATGATTACCATTTAAAATAGCCTAAAGTTTGGACAAAAAGTGATACGTTGAAAGTAATTGAGCTAGACATTACCTACCACAGCGTTTTGCATGTATTTGCAGTAAAACGACTGCCTAATGGCAAAAAATAAGGGAATTTTGTTTATTATTTTAATAATCCTCATTTTGCACACGTCAGAGTCCTTCAAAATTTCATTATTGCACGCCGCTGTGCCGTTAACTTTCACTGAGATTATTCTACTAGCTTTAAGAATCTAATAGGTTTTTTCAAAAAACGAGCAATAGAAAAATCGATATCATTGTGATTATCCTTGTGGATCGAGTCGTCTAATGCGACACTTAATAAGCACAATGCAAATAAGTGATTGGTAGCTAATGCAGTGCCCTTTTAAAATAAAAAAAACAATGTACAGAATTCGTCATCGTTTGAGATGCCGACATGCGCACAAATATTTGGCTAGGAAAAGTAAACGCATAAAATCAACAAATCCCATTTCACATTTTTCCTCGAAATTTTTTTGAGATGGTAATCTTATAATGTTGCAATTTTTATAAAAAAAAGGCTTAATTCGTGCGCCGCTTGTGACGCGGTACTCATCAAATCGGCAGTTGATTGCCTGACATTATCACTGAGGAAATATCTTGTGTACCAGTCTTCACTTTGAATTTGCAGTGTTGTAGAGATCCATTTTGTTGAAAAATAAATTGGACGTGTTCATTTGCCGCGTAGTTAGTTCTAAAGCATTTCCAGATAGTCGACGGCCCCCACATTACCATCAAAAAAAGGGGCCGAACACGGAGTTACTTCATGTTCAAGAATAGGAGCAATTTTACCCTACGTTTTATATAGAATTTTGCTGCATTGTTGAAAACTAGATGGTTCGCTAGGTCATGAATCTCTAGCAACTTTTTTGAATTTTAACGGACGCTGTAGGCCCATGCACTTTACCCGACTTTAAATGAAATGTCAGACTCTGAGAAGTGGAAAAAACTGACGAGTTTCCCAAAAAGGTGTTGTATTCTAAACAACCTGCCAGAATTTGTGAGAACCCACCTTAATTAGGCGATGAAATTATGTCAAACCTTCTGGGATACAGTGTACTGTGAAAATCAGAATGCACTAAATCAACCGGTACCAATTAACTGTTTTTTTGTGAATTAATATATGTTTGGATTCAGTAATTACTATTAAATAATTTATGGATTAGGATCATGGAAGCATAAATAAATCTAGTCCAATTCTAATTACTCCAGAATTTGTAGGTGGCCTATTTAGTTCTCCGTTTTGCTTACACATGCGTGTCTCGCGTGCCAAGTCTTCACGTAATTGGTCGCAGAAGATGAAGAATTAGCATTTGATTGGTCTCCTTCTGGCCAATAAATGCGCGCGTTTGGGAAGCTAAAGCATCGATTGGGGCTACCGGGGTCGCGACGATTGGATAAAAGAAAAGTTTGCAGGAAGTTTAATTCGTGCAGTCGCACATTGTCTGCCGGGTCTTGTACTTGACGGTTGCGGCACCACTAGGGGGATTCTCTTGTTCTTGGATAATAATGACACAAGAATACGGCTGTAAAGAAAAAGAAACGGATCCTGGTTCCTTGGTTTTGCTTAAAAAGGACGAACATGCAATGGAGAATGGGTCCAAACTTCAACTTCCGGTAAGTTCTTGGCAATTAATACGCTTTTGCACATAACTTGGAATGCATTCAGTAGGGTGTCATGTTTTACTGCAGCGAACTCAGTTTTTCTTAATTTGGTCTACAGCTTGGTTCAATTAGAGTTATGTTTAAATTACAGCTTAATTTTGGGACGCAACTGCATAAGTTGCAAGATTGAAGCAAATGTGGTGTTTTTTCTTGTGAATGACGCATTTTGGAGATGAGTCAGGCGTTTCACTAAATACAGCAAAGTTTGTATGGGTGGAGGTGCAAAGAGGCGTCGCGTATTTTTGCCCATTTCGGGTAACTAACTCACAATGGCTGTTAAGCAGGTCGTTCGAGGAATGTCTGAATCATTTTTTTACAGCTTGTTAAAATCGATCACTAGGAAAACTTGGGGAAAGCAGTTGCTCAATCTTTGAACTGGGCGCTATTTTGGCTAAAAATTACACGTTATTTTGGAGCAGATTAATGGTAATTAGACATCTATAATGGATTTCTTCGATTTCGCGTCAATATCATGCATTAAAATGATTTATTTGTTTTCGTGGGACACGCCATTTCATTTCATTTTTTTTTGTAAATCGAGAATTTGTCTTAATTTAAAACCAAGTCGGACCTAAGTTGCACCAAGAAGACGGGTCGCAGCTTGTGTTTCGCCACGTCTTTTAATAGCACATGACTTCAAGAATGCGAAACACCTAGGACAGCACTCTACGACATAAATTCTCATGTGATCCGTGCACTCGCTAGATAAACCATTATTCCGCCCAGCTGCTGTTCTTTTATTTGCACCCATTCAAGAAATCTCAAGTGAAACATTCGAAAGTAATTATTTTCAATCTCTTCTGAATTTATGCGCTATTTTAAAAGGCTATTCCCGCCCACGTCATAAATGCATGCCGTTCATTCCCGCGTTAAACTTTTGCACAAAAAGTACACCCGAAGCTTACGCAACTTTTACAATGTGAGCTGTTACAATCGTAGAACTGAACTTTTTGAAAGTTTTAAGATATCAGGGTTGATCCGTCCGTCTAGTTTCAATTATCAGATTACCTTAAATCCGGTTAGAATAGGCTTCCGTCTTAATCCTTGTTGGTCGAAGCAGACACGTTGGCATACCTTGAACCCCCTCTCTCAAAGTACGGAATATTATTTGGTGAAACCTGAATTTTTTTGGCCTGCAGTATTGGTGTAGGGCTTTGAATTATCACGTTAAATACTTTGCTTAAGTGCAATGCAAAGTCTATGCAGCCCGTGGTGAGTTCTGGGGAAGTGTGCACCTGCAAACAAGTTGCTGTTGCCATACTTTCATAAACCTTTTCCCAAGCGTTGTGTTTTAACCAGATCGCGAAGTATTCTAAAATACTAAACCACATTTCTTTTCGGAACCTCGGCAGTTAGGTCATTAAGTAGTATTTATCACGCTTCCGAGAGCCTGGCGTAACTGAGCTTTACGTTTACTGCACGGGGTGGTGAATGGTTTCGTTGGACATGTCCTCTTGATTTTTCACTTCAAATGCGCTCAATTGATTATGTCCACGTGACAAACAGTTCGTTCTTCGCATGGTTTCAGGTTGGACCAATGATTTTGTTGTCGCCAATGCACAGCCTACAAAAGCAATCTAAGCAATCATGTTTTAATATCCTGTATATTGTTATCAAAGTACTTTAGACTTGTAGATTTTGTGATTTGAGAAAGTATGCTCACAAAGCGAGGGACAGGGCTTCTACTTACATTTAAACGACTTGTCGACAAAGGTTAATGTGACTTATTGACAACAATATAGTTTTTTTAGTAAATAAATAAATGCACGAATTTCAAAAGGTTGCTGCAAAAACGTCTTGGTAGGCGTAGTAAAAGTTTTGCTTCAGTAATTTCTCATCAAGCCAGTATGCGAAGTTCGGGTTCACCGTCCTTTGCGTTGGGGACGAACACCTTACTGCATGCAAGCCGCACATTCACACGTAGGAAAGATAGAATACCTTTTGATTTCATGGGTAATAAAACTCGCGTTTTTTGGTTTAAAAAGCCACATTTTCATTGTTAGTAAGTTTCCCAATTCTGAGGTCAGCAACTATTGCTTCAGCCCACACACTTCCTGTGGTCCTGAGCTTTCCTAAATTGCCAGGTAGTGCACTGCTTTTACCAGCTATTTTCAAAGCCCAAGTCAATGATACGTAGGCTTCATTTTTCCTTTAATTTTGTTTCACGAGCGCTCTGTTTTTGGTTTTCTTTTAGCTTGCCCCACTTGTCTTTTTTGTTTCCAACTGCGTGCTTTCTCATCAAATGCGAACTGCCACTTCAAAATAATTGATCTTTGAACCGACGGCACTTGCTCTGTTGAAAACAATGTGTGCGCTTATGTCGAAAGCAATTCCTAGTCGTTTATTTACGTTAGCCTCGTTGAACAAGTAAAACACCAGGACATGCTGTTCCCATGCTTTAAAGTCGACATTAACGTCGTTTTGGGTTGATTGCTAGAATAACATGCCGAAGCAGTGCATTGTAGATAACCTTATTTTATTTTTAATACGTGTAGTCCCATGTTCTCGCAATGACTTCACCCCGTCCTGCATAGAGCAAATAAATCACCTAGCTTACCGTGTTGTATAGACCGGTTATCTTAAAACAACTCAAGTCACCTTAAGTCAAAATGCGATTCACAGCCTGTTCTTGAAAACAAGCTAGGCTTGGACAAAGTTATTTTTTTACGAGTCTGTTTTTCCACCAAATGACAGTCCCTACCATTCAATAGGAAGCTGCTTACCCTAGGACGGTCGCTTCTGAAGAAGGAAAACATTTAAAGCACCTTCGCTAGGTGTGCAAAACATTGCGGAAAAGGCTAAGATAGAAAGAAGAACGTATTTCTTGAAAACTAAAGACACTGATGTGTACGAGTAAAGTATTTTCAGGTAGTCGAGGAAGTAAAAGATCAAGCACTACACAAGCAGCCTTCGATGCATAATGTTGCCTGATGTGGCTGGAATTTTATGCGCGTTACATTCCAATTCGTGCAAATAAAGAGATCTGTACTGTGGCAAATATTTTGCTCTGTGGAATATCATTGATGGTTTAGTACATTTCCAAACAAGAAAGGGACTGGGCGTTTTAAATGATGGTATACTGGTGCGCCATTTCCTTGGGCAGAGGCTGCACACTAGGCCTCATGCCGAGGTTGTCATCTGAGCGCAATCACTTAATCAGTTAAACATCGATTCGACTTTACTACTTGATTGGCCACTTAAGCGTGCACCAAGGTAGCGGCAAATCGGCAAGTAGGAAAACTGTCATTGACCAAAGGATTTTCGCAGCAAGAGAGTGGTGGGGCAATTCTATAAACCATTTGTTGGGTTTATCATCTAGACGGATTTTGACGTGACTATCAAGTAAATTTTCACGAATCCCACCGTTTGTTGGTTCCTTTCGATTGTAATTGTCTATATAAAAGCACCAAGAGATGATAAATTTACGATAAGAAAACTACTAAAGCTTCAGGGGCATGCTTTGTACTTCGAGATAGACCTTTTAAACAAAAACGTCAACTTTCGCAGACATTGTCTTTGGGACAATGCTCCTGTTTGTGGCTTTACACGGCATGTGACCCATTGTCGTTTATTTTTGGATGCCCAGAAGTGACTGCTTGTAGTTTTTTCGTCATTTCTGCTGGACGACACCAAAGTCAGGACCTTTAACTGGTATTTTCGTCATCCCGTAGAACTTTTTGGTAAGATGGGATATTACAATAGGTTAGCTTGGTATTGTGCAAACACATGATTTCCACGATGGGCACCGGAGATGTGTTAACTGCGTCGAGGGAACCTTGTAGCGTTTGCTTATTTTACCGGAAATTGATGTAGCTCACTAGATATGAAGCAGTTAGCTCTCTACTACTGTCTTCCCAATCTTCCTTATACATTTGCATTCCCTGGTGATTTTAAAATCCTTAAATTTGCATTATTTATTTAGCCTGAAGCCGATGGCGATTTGCAAATCACTTATCAGCAGGCACAGCCAATTAACCGAGCCACTTGGGGTGGCAAATTTGAATTCGTTCTCTCCTGCATCAGCTACGCTGTCGGACTTGGCAACATCTGGCGTTTCCCCTATCTCTGTCACAAGAATGGCGGTGGTAAGTCGTGTGTGGCACAATTTTTATAGCCTCAATGATTTCAAAGTTGTGGCTTGCTTGTCTGCGTAAAACTCTCAGGTCCTAGTGCCTGTCACAGGCGTCTCCCTGACCAAACTGCAGCAAGTTTGTTTGGTAGAACCAGAAAAAATTCACCCACTGGTCCCGGTGCACGCTGAGATGTGATTGGTTCAGCTAGGTCGCACAATTATTGTTGCTTATCCCCAACCTCTAAAGCTTTATTTACACCTGTTAACAAGCCCTGCCTTCTGTTTTCCTCCAAATTTAGGTGCCTTTCTGGTGCCCTACCTGCTGATGCTTATTTTGGTTGGTCTGCCTCTTTTCTTTCTTGAATTCGCTTTCGGACAATTCGCCAGTCTTGGCCCCATCTCCATCTGGAATGTCAGTCCACTTTTCAAAGGTATGTTTATCACACAGTCATTGCTTAATTATAGCACAAGTGATGCAGTTCTTGGTACACATCACTTTCCCGCACAGATTCTAAACCCACGAAACTTCCACTCGATGAATGCGTTTTTTGGCCAAATTGGTTATTGTTGCAACTGTCAAGAAAATTTCGCATTTTTCTACGAATTCCTATTTTTTTTCGAAAGCCCAATTCACCACATTTCCTGAGTATTTAAAAAGCATACTGGTGTGATAAATCGGACATAAACAGGGAAAATATTTGGCGAAAAGGTCTTCGCAAACCTTGGTGGAACTCTCAGTTCGGGTTAATGGTGAAAATTTCATTTGATATTCCGCGCAGTCATCATTTCTTGTATCGGTGTCGACTTGCAGCAAGATTTCAGTGATGTGTACGTTCCCAAAAAAGGAAAATTTAACCGAAACAAGGCTTTTAATAAAATGCATTCTGCGGTTTCTGATTCCATTTCTTCATAAGCAGATTTTGACTAATCCAAGAAACAAGAAATCAGTTTACTAAATACAATAAATTCTCGTTCGGGTCGCATGTCGAATTGGCGTGAAGCGTGCAACTCTGTCGAAATAAATCATTTTCAATAGCTTATTTTTAACGTACCATGAAGAGACCAGTCTTTTGGTGACAGCATTTTGTGCGGAAACCTTGTCTGCGCGAAAGAAATGTTGAGTAAACTTTCGTACGAAACTTAATGTTACTTCGTTGATGCTAAACTGCAGAGGTTTTAAGTTTAATGTGGATGGCATTGCGGTGTTTTGGCCAGCTAGTCTGGTACTTTGCTACTTTGCCTATTCTTGACCAGTGGTGACTCTTATTCCTTGGGAAAAAAGGCAAAGGCTCATTTTGTAAGAACCAAAACATTGCTTAAGTCATTCAAAAACGTTTGCTGCCTAGAAACCTCTTGCTCCTCAGCAAACGGCATTTAGGCGTCTTCATAGTTTGAATGCTAGCCGCAGTTGCTATGGTTACATGCATGCATTTTCATGGGCAATAAACATTTGCCTCAAAAACTCAGTTTGGAGCAAGGTGTTCGGAATCTTGGAAGATTCTGTGCTCCATCAAGCTTCTTCTTGTGATGATGATGTGACTGTGCGTGACTTGTCATTTGCGTAAGACGGCCTACAGTCATACTTGGAGTGTTCGAGAGTTTTGACTTGAATTCATTTCTAAACACACCCATTTCTAGAAGCCACCATGAGTGTATAAGAGCCTAGCAAACAGTGTCTACGAAATGAGCATTGCCACAAATCAAGCTGCAACGACAACACTGCCACAATCTGCATAGCGTGTAGATGCCAACATGGGGCAGGTACCTGGAGGAAGTACTTGAACTCGGGGTTATGCCATGTTGACGACATTCTTTTCTCTCCAGGCATCGGTTACGCGATGGTTGCCACTTCATGGTTGCTCTCACTCTACTACAATGTAATCATCGCGGAGAGTCTGCTCTACCTGTTTTACAGTTTCACTCGTGAGCTCCCCTGGACATACTGCAATAACACTTGGAACGACAATGTGACCTGCATCGATGCTACAACCAATCTCACGTCGTTCTTAAGCTCCAACGGTAAGCTCCCCACACCCTTCATCCTCGTCTTTTCCCACATCATGGCGTTCGTGTCTGTTATTTGGGTCACCGTGTGCCCGCCCGGTCTGTCAGGTGTTGACTCATTCGCCAGAACCTGGGCAAAGGGATCGATCGTGGTAAAAGTTAAATATTTTATGCTTCGGATTGGATGCGGTAACAACCCAGGGAAAGAATTTAACGCTAGGCAAAGAAATTAACACGAAGTTGATGGGGACTTTTTCCGTTGTGTACCTTGATTAGGTCCGAAACAGTCATTAGACCATGAGATTAAAGTAGAACCAACAAGATAAACAGTAAACGTGGCTACCTTGATCCGTTAGGTTATGTCAAAATGGTCAGGGTTTCTATAAGCCCGCAGTCACTACTCCTGCTTGCTTGAATTTTAGGTTCAAGCGCTACTTCTAACTTAACGTTTACATCTCCTGCAGAAGATTTCTATTAGTAAGTTTCCATTCTTACTAAGTTAGCTTAAACTCCTGAATTTGTTAGCCTTTTGCTCTAAATTTTGCTGGTTGGCAAACGACACTGCCCAGAAAACAATCCCTAATGTAAAGGAGTTATTTTCAATCTGTCTCAGTAAAAACGACTTTAATTAATATCGCATAACTACAAAGGAGGACATTTATCTGATATAAACGTATTACGTCATAAATAATTTCTGGGAATCACCAACAAATGAAGGCGTCGGCGCTATGCCATTATGAATACTCGCTCACGAATTACATTTGTAGGCGGAATGGAAAACACGACCTCAAAGCGCATGGGAATGCATCAAAAATTGTGCTCTGTCTAGAATTTGCAACTGGTAGAACCGGTCATTATACATAGTGGCTTATCAGAGGATCGATTTAATATACACAAACGGTTTCTAGGTCCTTTTTGCGAAAAAATGGCTTGCAAATAAATATCAGCCATTGGAAACGACTTCGTTTGTCTGATTTGCAGGCTTGGCGTATTTGTCATTGTCAGTCTTGCTTTCAAACTTTTGTCATTGTATGAAATAGTCCAATTTGCACAGAATAAGAATCAGGATGTGGCTCATCTATCTATTCAGCCATGTTTTGCTGCTCTCAGAGGCAAGCTGTAAATTTACGTCGAGTTTTCCCGAAATATCATTTTTGGTAGGTACCTTTTAGTTCTTGGGAAAAGCACTCGCAAAGATTTGCTTGGTAGATTTTCTAAATTTGCGTTGTCGTCATATGGAAATAAATCAGGTTCAGAAACCGCCATACAATCTCACAGCACTTTATTCACGGTTATTGTATTTCTATATCTGTGTTTTTCAGTACAAGTTTCAGAGTGTCGGCATTTAGTCATCGGTCGAGTCGGATTGTAAAAGTGGGGAAATTAGATATGAATGACGCAGCTAAGGTTACATGTTACCACGGCGAATGGTAACCAGGTAGTAACTTTAGGTACAGGCAAACAGCGAAATCCTCCGCTTCATCAGTAGTTACAATCTGATGAAAAGCCTTTTTACTGTGACATTTGGAATTTACAAACGCGTTTATTAAGCTGGCAACAGATGTTACAGAGCATGTGAATGAAATTAGAATCAATCACGATTTGACGGAACACCGAGTAAATGACCTCATTATCACGTGCCGTAATGTAATCAGTTCTGAGTCTTGTTATTTGTGTTTCATTGTAAACCTGATGTAAAACCATCCAAATGTCAGTCGGTGTGATAAAAACCCATGCATACTAAGATCACTTGTTCTTTTGGCTAGATTATTTGTTGCTTGCATGACTACTTGCTGGCAAATTCCAGCATCATTTAGGTGCCTTTACACCGCAAAAGTGCAATTTAGGCCTGTCAGTTACAGTTCGCCCATTTAACTTGACCACTAAGTGTGTAATTGCTCTGTAGATTTTGTCACTACAACTTACTTTCACCGACGGTTTATGTGTCAACAAGTACAACACTATCGTGAGTTCAGAGAAAAAATGATACGCAGAATATGCAACCGTGGGAATATTTAGAAAACAGCTCTTAAACTAGGTAAATGCGGCTGTTCAGCGTGACTCGCAGCTAAAATATATCATTTACACCGGATGTGGTTAGGAGTTCGTTTTTACCAAAAAATACACAACTGTGTTGCATGAACTTTCATAAGCACCGTTTTTCACATTGTGAAATCGAAGTCGCGCTTTTGGTGAAGGTCAGGATTTTTTGAGAGGCTGTGCTACCGATGCGGTCCACTTTGCTTGGCTAAACACAATCGAAAAAGGCAAAGGGACGTCGAATTATCATCAATGATTGCCCAATTGTACTGTTTATGCTTTTTTATAATGCGTTACTAATGTATGCATTAGTCCGTGCACAGGCTATTCAAATCACTAATTCTTCTTGAAAATGGTTGCAATTCGTGGCCCTATTATTGCTTTCAAGTACACTTTGGAAATGCGTTCAAATTCAAAACTGAGAAGTCTCAATACGCCGAACTTACCTATTAAATTTGTGTGGTAACTTTAAAGTCCAGCTGCGACAGAAAGAGATCAATAAAATTGACTTGATAAGCGTAAAAATCGGCCCTCCACTTGTTGAATTCGTTCTACTGAAGAGGTCTATTTCAGGACAAACTCGATAAGCTTCCGCAAGACAAAGCCTCATAATAATACCTTGTTTAGGTTGTGACTTTGTCTTCAACTGTTAATAAGGACTAAAGTGACCAAAAAAGTTGAGCAAAGCCCAAACGCTGTGAAAAGTGTAACAGAAGACTGCGGGCTGTCGGCTAATGTTCTTCATGACCTAGTTTTTGGACACGCAGGGGGGTTTGTACGGGCGATATTTGCTGTCACATGAATACGTCAGTCGCAATGCTCGGTCCACTTGCACTTAACCACGGATGTTCCTGTCTTGGTTGTTCAAAATGCACATATTTCAGCCATCGTCAGGCTTGGCCCATCACAATGTAGGCTGCACCGACTTTTTGCATCTGGTCATGGGATGTAATTCAATCCGAATAGTTGTGTACCCCAATTTCATTAAGTTTCGTAATGAGTGTGCGTTCATCCACTCATTACGACCGGCAAGCATGTTGTGTATTTTTTAAGTTTCCTCGAAATCATTGTTACCAATTTAGTACATAATCTATGCAGTTCTGCAATTCTCCACACAATGCTTTCCTTGTTCGATTTAAAATATAACAATTCAAATCCCAGGGTCCTGACTGTCTGCGATATTATTTTTTTAAACGAGAAAAAACTGATAAATAACATTGAGATTACATGAGTATCCCCCGAGATAAGCTAATGTTGCGTATTTGAAATAAATGCAAAGGACCGATTCGATGGGGAAGTTTAATTGACGGGCTATCAAATTAATTGGATGAAGTAGGGTCGAATCAACTCGACTTCATCGACAATCTTGACTGTCTGACTTGAATTTGACAGGCCTCATCTCCCACTTGTCCCGTAATAAGCAAGCCTACGTTTGTTTACAAAATATGCGTCAACTTCCCAACTGGTTCAGCTTGTCTTGTAGCATTGTTTACAAGGCTTCAACGACGTAGGAGGTAACTGGTTTCAATGCGAACCCACCTAATGCCTGCAATTAAATTAGGGAGGTTTCACTATCATAGATCAAGTTTATGGGACTCTATTCCTTACTAACTGCGCAGCAGGCTGTCTTAAGTATTGTCTGCTAAAAGGCAATCTCAGTCGTTATACTTGGTCCGAGCATTGAGAGATCTACGTGTTCGAACATCGATCAAGCAGCTTTTGCCACAAATTCTGCAAATTCGTCTATCGAGGGCTCTTTAACAGCCAGCACGCCGACTCACGTAGTCCTACTTTTCTTCGTTCTGTCATAACTTTTTTGCACCCATCTCTCTCCTCCGTCACACATCAGTGCTCGCCCTTTACACCACTTGTAGTAACCATATTTTGCAAAAGTCGGGAGGCATCGACGAGATCGGTCTGCCGGTGTGGCAGTTGTCGCTGTGTCTCCTCCTCGCTTGGACCATCACGGCTCTCGTTTTACTCAAGGGTGTCCAATCCCTTGGGAAGGTAAGCTGATTCGACTTAACGTATGATTTGGGGGTTTTCAGAGTCAAGAATTCTGGAAGTTCAGACAGATACCTGAGTGAATTTGCTATATTATCTGCTCCTTTTTAACCACAAATGGCCAGTTGAGAAGTTTCAGAAACAGCTCGTACCCACATTCGGTCAATCACTTAGAGAGGTGCCTGGCCTTGTTAAGTTAGCACTTCCTAAGGGGAGAAATTAACACGTTGTTAGTCTGCTGAAGGTGCAGACATGTTGTCTGTAACCATGCCGTGGCCCGGTTTCAATACACTAATACACGGGACAACTAAGAGGACGGCGGAGACAACTGTTTACTAGGTGCCCGGGGGCAGTTGAGTATCCCACCCTGCGCATAAAAAGCCGTGTCTGATAAATGGGGTTGTTAATCATGCAGTCTAGGTAAACTTATAAAAGTACAAATCGTTGAATGGCTACGTGAACGGCCTAAGTAAAAGGGGGATGGGAGGCAGGCACATACACAGGTGGTAAATGGCCAGACGAGTTTGCATGATCGATAAGGATGCCGTGAAGAGGGAAGGGCGCCAAGTCCCGAATATGTGACGATCGGGTTAATGGACGTGGATCAACACAATGTATCACCAATCCATGCTTTGGGAGTTAATTTCGGTGCCAAAAGTCAGTGGTCGTGGCTACAATGACAGCTTAGAGGTCGTTTCTTCATCGCATTAAGTTTGCATTCTTCTGCAACACTACGATTTACTCATTTACAATTGTAGACTAGCTATTTGCTACAGAATAATGGTTACGGAAGATCTAATGCACGCACAAAAATTTTTACATCGTGTTGATCTCGGCCTTTCACTCTTCACCTTTAGGTATCCTATTTCACGGCCCTGTTTCCCTACGTCATTCTCACCGTGTTGTTGATTCATTCACTGACGCTCAAGGGTTCTCTTAACGGCATTCTCTACTACTTGACGCCCAAGTTCAGCCGACTGAAGGACCCCCGCGTTTGGGTCGATGCTGCCACCCAAATTTTCTTCTCCCTCGGATGCTGCTCTGGCTCGTTGATTGCCATGTCCAGCTTCAACCCTTTTAAGAACAACTGTTGCAGGTTAGCTAGATCGCATGTCTGTGCGATTTAAACAAGGAAACGTTGGTGAAGAGCAATTTTCCACTGGCTTTTGTCTCCCTCGTGGTCCATGGAGCTAAAACAGCATGTGGGATCATAAAAGAGACGACGTTTATCGTATAATTCAAACGTTTTCAAACGCATTTTGATGCAACCAGACACGTGCTTGTCTAGACGACATCTATGCATTTCGTGTTTGTTACTTTCAAACTATAAATATCTGGATATTCGCCGATGTTCTGCTCCACTTCAACTACATTCCGTATGGCTTTGGTGAAATCTTGTAACGTTTTGATCTCAGTAGGATATTTCCCTTGTGACCAGCGCATAACCCAAATTAGTGTTTGCGTTTCGATGGATTAGTTACAACATCAAAATAAACGCGAAGCTTAATTATAGGGAAGAACCTTTTAGGTGGATTGCGTGAGGCTTAATGTCGGCATATTGCCGTCTAGCACTTACGCGGCCTCGCACAGACTGAATACAATTCAGGCTGTTAGCGTGCCCTCATTTAGCCATGAATCATTAAGGAAAACGAACGTTTAATTGTTCAAGGTTTGTTGGCATTATCAACCGTATTCTGTCGTATTTTAACAAAAAGCTTGTTAGTTATCGTAAGCTGGTGTAGCATCGAACTTTTGAAGTCAAACTTCTGCGTCACTCAAAACAGTCTGGTATGTCGGTGGGACCTCATAGACGCAGGTAAATCCATCACTCGTTGCACAGATTGCAAATGCCTCGCAAGCTTCTAAGCGTGTTTGCTTTTGCTATTTAAACAGACAAATACATTTAGCTGGAAAAAGTGTTCCATGCCCAGGGTGATTTTGCGTAGTGTCACGTACGAGAGGTTGGGTCGTTTCGTTAAATCGCTTCTGCATAACATTTTACCAGAATTCTTTTCACTTTGCCTCTTTCACGGGTTTGTTTGCGCGGAAGCTTCCATCCAAACTGACTATCTTGTTTTATCAGTCGCTTATTTGAAGCGTCATTTCACTTGCTACCCTATCTCGCCTCACTTCAGTCCTTATCAGTTATCTGAGTTATTTTCTGTGGTGTGAAAACACGCCTAGAACCCCGGCGACACCACGTTCGATTATTCACTTTTACCACTGCGTAAAACGGCGTTATTGTTTAGACAAAGTTCTCTGCACAAGTGTAACGTGAAAACAACAGTCAAAATTAGCAGTGAAATTCCGCGTTCCAGTGTCAATACGTACGGCGGTGTATTAACTGGCGCATGGTGTGAATTTGATTTTACTAATGCGTGACGGATACGCGATGAAAAACAATAACATGCACGATAAACGCATCTATCCAATCCATTACAAATGGTCGTAGTGTCCAAGTAGATGTCGATGTTTAATTTCCATTCTTAGAGATGCTATTATCGTGGCCTGCGTCAACTGCTGCACCTCAATCTACGCCGGTTTCGTGGTCTTCGCGAGCCTTGGTTTCATGGCTGAGCAGAAGAACGTCACCATGGAAAACGTTGCAAAATCGGGTAAGTGGTTAATTAGTTAAACGAATTGCGACTAGAGTGGTCAAAATGAAATTTGATCAAGCCACGATAATGTAATAATAATCAAGTGCTTGCTTTCATTCAGGTTTACACAGGTCCAAATTGATTAGTGCCCATGGTTAATTAATGCATCCGGTGATTCTCATACAGATTTCAATTTCTTTCAATGTAGAACTCAAAACACCGTCATCTCTAGGTCGAATCCAGATTTTTTGTGTGTCAGGAAATGTTTTAGTGCCTATAACCGACGTCTGTGCGCTTCTCTTTTTTCGAATGCTATACAAGGCGAAACGTTGCACCGGGTTCAACGTCGAACTCGATTTTCTAGTCTTGAGTTTTCCTTGTGGTTTTATTTTTGGTGGTGGCGTTTCCGAATGGAAAGATTCCACTAGCAGTCAACTTCACCGTACTTCCTTTCTCCCTTTTCTTATGTTGCCGTATTTGACATTTCGAAACTTTTCGTAGAAACGCATGCTCATCAATCACCGATGTAATTTTGACCTACCTCCGGGAAACGTAAAGCGAGAGTACCAAACAGGTTGGCTGTAAAACGAGCAACGTAGTAGTGACCAGAATCTCACACAAGTCATGCCCATCTAGGGTAACTCTGTGCAAAGCCACCCAGTCACAAATAGCGACTCATTCATTTTGCCCGCCTTTCAGGTCCTGGCCTCGCGTTCGTTGTGTACCCGGAGGCCTTGGCACAGATGCCTCTCCCGGCGATGTGGTCCATCTTCTTCTTCTTCATGCTCTCCACCGTCGGCCTGGGATCCCAATTCCCCATAGTCGAGACGGTTATGTCTGGCGTAGAAGACGAACTCAGACGAGTCGGTCTTCTTACCAGCCACTGGGTAAGGTACACCTTCAGGTAAGCGTAACAAGCCACAATTCCCCTATACTTGCCGAATCGTTTCTTCTACTGTGGATTCTAGGCCACTGCTGGTAACTTTCTACTTCGAAGTAGATGGTTACCTTTTATTGCACCACCTGTCACCTACAATTTAAAAATTTGGTTCGTTAACAGTTAATCAGAGCATCAAGGCAGTCAAATTGATTTCAATTCACCTATTGAAACAAGGCGAAGGATAGCGGACACAAGACTCTTTTAGTGTGTCCTTCAAGTCTCAAGGTTATCCTATAACTGTTGCGTTCATTTTGGCACAGGACGATTCACTAGCAAGTCATTCGGGGACTCGCAGGCTATTTTGCCTATGCTCACCTATTCGCCGTGTACGCATGTCTTTCCCCCCGTTGTCACGGCTTCCCATGGCCAGTTTTACAGTGGTTTCGTTCCAAAGTCAGCCTAATTATACATGTAGAAACCAATTCATAGTCACGTGTACGCAACATGCTTCTGCACGTGACAAAGTTTGGCGTCCATGTGCTTTAATCGCATTTTGCGAAGGTCAAGTCGGATTAGCTGCAGCTTTGAGGGAGCTAGTGCTGGTTTTCTTGCTTTGGCGAGCTCCCGAAGTTCCAATTAGGCTCTCCTCGCAGTTTCTAGAATTCACATCACCAGGCCGGTTCCAGAGTCCCGGCGGTTTGCGTGCCAGCACAGTTTTTGCCTGCTTTTGTCTCATTAGGTGGTCCGGTGTGGTTTTCACCGCTTCACACACTGGCTTGCGTGTGTGTTAAATACCGAATAACTTTTTTCTCAAAAAACTTATTTGCGAGGATTTGGCTTAAAACATTGAACACCCTCAGCGTTATCTCCACAAGTCTTTAGAGTATGAAACACACTATTTGAATGAATTAGTGAGGATATGGCAACAAACCCTATTTTGCTGCTATCGTGTCCTCGATCGTTAGAAGCGCGGGCAGCATCGACTAATTTTTCACGAGGTGTCAAAAATCGTTGGTGGCACGAGATATTTAAGCCAAAATCTCTGTTAATTGTTCAACAAAAAAGTTTCCCTTTTTAACCACCAACACAAACGCAGATTGGTGTCTGTGCGTTTTTCACCAGCCAATCAGAAACCCCGCTCCCCTCCCTCTTTCCCTGTTCAGTACCGGTGGGCTGGCTTATGGGAATTTACATTGACGACCACCACAATGGTCTTGCAGATAAGACTCAATGTCTTCCTTACATCTTCTGTTTTCATACGGTTAGTAAGCCGGGCATCGACCGACGTGGGCCTGTTTATTGGTCACCACACTTCAAAGCTCTCGTGATATTTAAAGAACAATCTACTTTTGTTAATCAGGAAATTGGTTAAGTCATCTAGTGAAGAGCGTCGCCGGACCGTCAACGCCGAGGGCCTGCAAATACCCGACTTCTCCGTAAATTTTGGTCTCATCTTCCTGTGGCCTGTACAAGAAGTGCCGCCTCTGGCAGCCTGAGCAGCACAAGCATGACGCGCGAACCATGTGACCAGAAACAGGGGCCGTGCATGGTGTTTAGGGGTCCTGTTGGGTGTTCGCATAAAAAGTAGAGAAAATCTCAGCGGAAACGGTCTCGTTTGGAGGCCACACGGCCCACCTACGCGTGTGCCGTCTAGTCCGTGCATGGGGGTTCTCCCAGCGTTAGCAGTGTCTAAATTGACCTCACAAGTGACTTTTTCTCTAGCCAAAAGTGCAGTCTTATTGAATGCAATTCGCATCTCTGTGCATCTGAATTCACCAAACTCGTTTTATGCTAGGATTGGCCTCTGCGTGGTCAACTTTCTCCTCGGTATCCCCATGGTCTGCAGAGGTGGTTACTACCTGCTTTTCCTCGTGGACTGGGCCATGTCTGGTTATCCCCTCATGTTCATCTGCGTCATAGAGATCGTCATCATCTGCTACTCTTATGGTAAGTTACGTGGGTTTTGGCAGTGAAAAGAAGCATCTTGTAATGCCCCTGTGGCTGAGGTCTGAACGCCAATCCCTTAAAATACGTGCTCTTGTAACCAGTTGGGAAGGTTTCTGTTTGTTAATATAAGTAGTGTGTTTTGTGTTACGCGGCCATTACATACCTCAGTAATGCTAAACGAACATCATTCCATGTCTCTCATTATCTTTTCAACATTACGGTATCTCAATCAATGAGGCTGGTCGAAATTTCTCAATACTTCCATCGAAATATCCGATGAATCGTGCTCCGAGCACAGTGTTTAAGTTCCTGATGTTTGTTAAATCAGTCGCCTTGAAAATGCGTGCAATTTGCTCTTCGGACAGAAAATGCATTCAAGTTTTAGCAAACAAGCAAACATGCTGTGTTTTTATGATGAAATCTTTCTAATTCTTTGCAAAAAACACCACTAGAATACCTGGACACTGGAAGTGCTGTGGTACCAGTTTCTTGCTTCGTCTAGCCTATCACAAGGACCTGCGAGAATAACAATCGAAACGTATTTTTTGCATCCGTTCTGTGCTTCCAAATTTTCAACCGGCTAGCGAATTCTTTGTTTTTTTGTTAAGGCCTAAAGCAGTTCAGGAGGGATATTGAATTGATGATAAACGCGCGTCCAAACTGGTACTGGCGAATCTCCTGGATGATAACCACTCCGGGCATATCGGTCGGTCTCATCATCTTCTCCATGGTGAGCTCGTCGGGGCTTCAACTGGACAATTACGTCTTTCCTTACTGGGCTCAATCGATTGCCTACATGACCGCCGCGTTTCCCATTGTCTGTATTCCGCTGTGGTTCTTCTACAAGTACTGCAAGGAGGGTGGTTGGATTGTAAGTTGCAAGAAATACAAAGCCCAGTTTAGTGGCTTCTTTGTTAGTTTCACACTGATGTCATCGGTAAAATTCTAGTTTCAGCAAGTATAACTATCTCTACAGCTACTGAAATTAACCAAGTAGAACGTCGTTTGACGTTCCATGCCTTCGGCTGTTTTCGTACCGCCGACGTTGTATTCTTAGATGATAGCGCAACTTTGTCTAGGTCAAGCAGATTAGAGTATCTAAAGACAAGGTAAGACTAAGTGATTTTGAGTCTGTCTGCAAGCATTCAGAAGGAGGTTGCATTCACTTTTAGAGCATAACGAGTGCAATTGTTTCACGTTTCGGTTGCAAATTTGCATTAAAATCCCATAATGTCTCAAGTCATTTATCCCTTCTATGTAACTTTAATTTAAATGGTTACTCATCATCGATGTGAGGGTTTACGATCAAGTACTTTTAGCTCTTCACAGAGTTCCTCAAACCTGTAAACGAATGGGGCCCGGCTAAGGACGAACACCGGGCTGAGTTCATTTCCATGATTCGTTCCAACGACTCACTGCGTCAGGGCGGTGGGCATGGAAGTAGCCAGGTCTGCTTGAGTCGTGCCTACATTCCACAAGGACTCGGTGATCCTGAAGGCGGTGACATCATTGACGGCAGCCGAAAACGCGTATTTGGATCTGTGGTCAGGGGAAGCACGGCCGCAATCGACACCGAGGGTGGATTCTTCCAGAGCAAGCTCAGCGTCGCCGAGAAGCTAACTATGGCCCACAACAAGGAAGTGGCCAAACGGTCCGGCATCGACCTCGCCCATCTGGACGCCGAGGCGCTCACCGCCAGCCAGATTGCAAGTTTTTGCGTTGATTTTTTTTTCAAGTCAGGCCAATTACTTGTTAGTGATGACATTGGCAGCTCAAAAATCCACTTAGTGTATTCCCCTGCTGTCCTGGGTCCAGGTCAAAACCAGTTTCGAGGTTCGCAAGCCTTGTTTTCACTCCCAACCTGTTTGTGGCGATCAGAAAGCGAGCTTGAATTCCGTCGATTTGCTTGCATGCACTTTCAGTAGCAATGTTAGTTAAGCGATCCTATATAAACTGATGACTTGTTCCCTGTATAACCACAAAGTCTTCGGCCGGATAATGGTTTGGTGACCACACCTGGGCTTCAAGATGTTCAAGCTCTTTGCCAACAATGGAACTGCGTCCCCGACCTACAACGCTTCACGCTCTAGGCGGAAGTTGTGTACCAGCACTCTATGCGATACAAGCTTTGACCATGCAGCATAAAGTACAGTCTAATAAATGTTAGACAAACCGCATGAATTTACAGCTGATCTCATGAAAGCTGGAGTTGTTTTCCCTCTTCAGATCGCCGATTAAGTGGTTGTATATTGACATTATATAACTCACGGCAAGCTACTTGAGCTATACCTGAATACTCACTTCAGTACAACAACCAGGCGGAATTTTATGGCACGTTGTCGAGTTAGTGTTGGTAGTGGGCACTCGCAAGAACCTAAGTGTTATTTTGTCTTGCCTAAAGGCCCTAGCAACAATGACGGCGACGAAGGAGGTGCAGCCGTACTCTGTGGCCTACGAGGGGCCCAGCCAGCCGCGCATCTCCGCCACGGAGCCACCGACAATCAACTTCGACCGTCGGGCCTCTCAGTGCACTGCCAGTGCGCCCGGTCACGCACCCACCTTGTCCCAACTGGCTGCCAGCACCAATGGCACCACCCTGCCTGCTGACGAATCGTCTGCCAAAACGCAACAGCGATAATGCTATAGGCGCTATTTTTACACAAGCAATGTCACAATGTGTTACCTACCATCAGGCCCAAAGTTTGTTTAAAAAGACACCTAAGACCACACACTTACACACACAGTGCCTATTCACATATGGGTAGTTCATTTTTACTTGTTCTTTGTGTTTGAATAATAAAAAAAGTTAGTAGCTTGGAGCATAAAATAGCAATTTACAATTGACGTGGTTTCGTTTGATGTTGACTCGATAATTCAGAAAACCGTCTTCGATTCTAGTATAAGAGGTTCTTCGCATCCCAAATTGCCAGCAGGTATTTGCAATCAGCTAGAGGGTGTTCTGGTTACTAGATACTTCTGACCCAGAATGGTTCGAGTTTAGTCCTGGAACATGCCTAATGCGGTCAAACATCTACTACTTGGATCGACACGAGAAGAGCAGTGGCTTTGAAGTATCGTCCAAAACTAAGATGAGGAAGCGGAAATTAGGGGGGTTCGTTACAAAGGGTGACACCAAAAACCACGAAACTTTACTTTTGACAAAATCTGGTGACACAAAGAGATTCTGCTAAAGTTTGCACTCCCTAATGCGTGTCATCAGAGCAAGTGCGCGAATGCAAGCGAAATGGCTTTATTTGTATAGTTGACATGATATCACTGGCAGCGGAGTTATACGGATGACGATAAACTCCATACGGAGCCTGCGTCTGCTAAATGTCATACCGTGGTCGCACACACTAGGCACCTAACGTCCGAAGGGGTAGTGAGGCTATCGAGTAAAGAGTTGGAAACTGGTGGCAATTGACCACGTTTGTGGCATTGGATTAGGCGTCGTGGCCTGTAGCCGCATTCGCACATCACGGCGGGATGTACAGTCGTGGTGTTCAGCGTCGCGACTGGTGCTGGGTGGCGTGTCGAGCATGCGATGAACCGTGTCGATTCATGTCCATCAATTCTGACGCCACATTTGCCCATGCAACGTCCCCCTTCCACTGAGCTTTCATTGAACATGCGGAGCTGCCTTCTCACCCATTCTCATCCATTCACCGCTTCAGCTGCTCATTTTCACTCACCAGGCCACTAAGCCATTTGTGCCCCCACTACTTCGCCCAAACTACTCTCGTCGCAGATTTCATTGCAATTTCACAACCTAGATTACGCACACAGTATAATTACGGCTAGGCTAATCTATCTAAGAACGCTGTCTATAGATGACGTCTATTGTGCATATTAGTTTTAATGTGAGCTCGATTTAAGAAAGAAACCTTGCCATGGAGATGAACAGGGTTGCTTTTAAAGCACTCAAAACAGCATCAACTCCTATTTTGTATGAATTGATTGGCAATATGTGCACCACAAACCATTCAGCAGTAAGCTGGGAAGGTG